AGCTGCATTGAAGTGAACACACATCTAATTAGCAGATTTTGAACCTTAGAAACCTTCATTATATTATAATCTTACGTCATCTTTGAAGCTCAAACCAAAATGTAACTCTGCTCATTAATTGTTTGCAATAACTGCATCATCCCTTCCTTTGAATACTCTTAGGGTAATGATATGCCCAAAGGTGTCAGGCAGAAAATGACTCATAATAGTAGTTTCTCTGGAGCTATTACTCTGTATGCACACCCATATGCCACTGTGAATGACTTTTCCAGTACTTGTGTGTTTGCCTCTTCCAGTTGCATGTGTGAGTGTGTGTGTGTGTGTAGAGATGCATACTGATGCTTATAGGTATATGTTCATGCCTCTGTGCAAGTGTGTGGACACCTCTGTGCATGAATGAATACCTCTGCATTGCTATGCTACTCTGTGTGTGTGTGTGTGTGTTTGTAAAACTCATACACTGCTAAGTATAAAATGGATGAACAATGTATTTATAAGGATCTCTTTAATTGTGACATTAAACCAAACTAAAAGTTGTTTAAGCGAAAAGGAAATGTATTGACTTATTTAACAGAAATATCTAGGGTTAGCTTTAGATTCACACATGGAAAAGGGAAAATTGGAACCACACATAGTGGTGACTGGTCCCCCACATATATCGGTCCTGCTAAGCAGGAGTAACAGGATTCCCTTCCCTGGTGCCCTGGGTCTGCTTTGGGCATCTGGGCTGGGGATCTTAATTGAGCTCTTTCGAAGGCATTTCTCTTTTTTTTAATTTTAATTATTATTATTATTTTTGGCTTTTAGTCTCTTTGCTTCCAGGCAATTCCTGGGGCAAAAAAGCAAAGCCAGAAATTTTGTCAAGACATGATATTTAAACCCAGAAACCAATCTGAGAATTACTGTTTTCAATCAACAGGCCTTTCTTCATCCCCTTATCCCTCAGCTTTGTGGCCTCTGTCTTGGACAGCCAAAGCCAGCTTAAACAATAGCCACCCAGAGATTCACACAGCTTGCAATCCCTAACTCAGTCTCCGGCCATGTTTAGGTAACTGTCTTTGCTCCTACTAATTTTAGATTGCTTGAAATATTTTTTTCAATAATATAACACCCTGGAATACTTAGAGGCTCAGCTATCCTAGATTTCAAGCTGTAACCACAAAGAATTTTCTTAATAAAACTGTCTTATTATTCTCTTTCTCTCTCTTTTATACTATATGTTATTTTGATTTAAATTTTTATTGAAATCAATTAGATTCAAAGGCAATTTGAGAAATAAGACAAAATATCCTTAAGAAACTTTACACGGTTCCTCCAATGGTAACGTGTTGTAAAACTATAGTATAGCACAATCAGGATATCGACTTTGATACAAACTAGCAATGTAATCAAATATCCCAAGAGAAGGGTACTTATTTTTATGTGCGTTCATGTGTGCGTATTTAGTTCCATTCAATTTTACTACATGTATAGGTTCATATACCCATCATCACAGACAAGGTACTGAACAGTTTCATCATCCAAGGATTTCTTGTGTTGACCTTTTGTAATGATACTCATTCTCTTCTGCCTATACCTCTTTCATCACTACTCCCTGGCAACCACTTATTTCTCCATTTCTAACATTTTGTCATTCATAAGTGTTATACAAATTAAATCATGCAGTACATAACTTGAAATTATTTCTATCAATTGAATTCACTCGAAATTCTTCCAAGTTGTGTGTATTTCTTATTATTTTTCCTTTTTTTATTGTGGAGTAGTATTCCATGGTATGTATGTATGTTCTTCCATTTGTTTAACTACTTACCTATTGAACCACATCTAGGCTATTTCTAGATTGGGGCCATTACAAAGAAAGCTGCTATGAACATGTGAATAGGTTTTGTGGGAATGCAAGTTTTTGTTTGTCTACACTAAATGCCCAAGACTGAAATTTCAGAGTCACATGGTATTTGCAAGATTTTTTTTAAAAACACTTTTGTTTTAGATCATTATACCTTTAAATGCAACTGTAAAAAATATTATCAATAAATACCATGTATCCTTCATCCAGTTTCCCCCAAGAGTAAGATCTTAAACTATCTATAGTGCAATATCAAAACCAGGATTGACACTGGTATGGTCAAGATACAGAACAGTTCCATCACCAAAACAATCTCTCATGTTTCCCTTTTTGCTCTAATCACTGTCCTCTGGTCCACTACTACTTTTAGCCCTGGTAACCATTAATCTGTTCTCTATGTCTGTAAGTATGTATTTTCAAGAAAGTTATTTCAACGGAATTATAAAATATAACTTCTGGGATTGGCTTTTTTCTTTCAGTCATCATAATTCTCTCGAGATTTATCCAGGCTGTTGTACCCATGGAAAGTTAGAGACTTTTTCATTAAGGAGCAGTAATTCATGATATAGATGTAACAATTTATTTAGCCATTCACCCACTGAGTGACATCTGAATTGGTTACAGTGTTTGCCATTATGAATAAAGTATATATAAATATTTATGTACAGGTTTTTGTGAAAAATATAGGTCTTCATTTCTCTGAGTAAATGCCCATCTGGTAACCATCATTCTACTCTATCTTCATTAGTCCAATTGTTTTAATGTTTAGCTTTCACAAATGAGTGGAAACTGCAAAGTTTGTCTTTCTGTGCTTTACTTATTTCACTTAACATAATGTTCTCCAGTTCTATCCATGTTGTTGCAAATGATAAAACCTTGTGGGATTTTTTTTTTTTTTTTTTTTTTTTTTTTTTTTTTTTGAGACGGAGTTTCGCTCTTGTTACCCAGGCTGGAGTGCAATGGCGCAATCTCGGCTCACCGCAACCTCCGCCCCCTGGGTTCAGGCAATTCTCCTGCCTCAGCCTCCTGAGTAGCTGGGATTACAGGCATGCGCCACCATGCCCAGCTAATTTTTAGTAGAGACGGGGTTTCACCATGTTGACCAGGATGGTCTCGATCTCTTGACCTCGTGATCCACCCGCCTCGGCCTCCCAAAGTGCTGGGATTACAGGCGTGAGCCACCGCGCCCGGCCCTTTGTGTGTTTTTTTAAGGACTGAATAGTACTCTGTTGTGTATATGTACCATCTTTTTTATCCATTTATCTGTTGATAGACACTCAGGTTTATTCCAAATTCTGGTTATTGCAAATAGTGCATGTTGTAATTTTATATCTTACATAGTTGATGAATTCATTTATTAGTTATAGGATTGTTTTTCTTTAGATTCTTTGGTATTTTTTATTCAGATAATCATGTTATCTATATAAAATTCTAGTTTTATTCCTTCCTTTCCAATCTGTGTGCCTTATTTTTCCCTTGGCTTATTGCACTGGCTACAGTGCCAGTACTCTATTGAATAAGAGTAGTATGAGAGACATTCTTGCCTTGTTCTCAGTGTTGGGAGGAAAGCGTTTAATCTTGGACCACTAAGTATGATATTAGCTATAGTTATTTTGTAGATGCTTATAGCAAGTCATAGTAATTTCTATTTATAACTTGCTAAATGTTTTCATCATGATACATGTTTGAAATTGTTAGTTTTCTGTGTCAATTGATATCATCGTTGCATTTTTCTTAGCTTTTTGACATGGTATATTACATTGATTAATTTTAGAATGTTAAATCACCTTTCTATACCTGAAACAAATATGTTGCTCATGATTTATAATTTTTTAAATATTGTTAGATAGGGATTGTTAATAGTTTGTTTAAAATGTTTATGTCTAAAATCATGAGAGATACAAGTCTGTGGCTTCCTTTCTTTGTACTGTCTGTTTAGTGTTGGTATCAGAGTACTACTGGTCTCATTAAATAAGGGAAGAAGTTTTTCCTCTCTACTCTCTGGATGAGATTGTTTAAAATTCATGTTAATGCTTCTTTAACTGTTTGGTATTATTCTTTAATAAAATCATTTTGGTCTCAAAATGTTTTTCTTTTACTTTTTTTTTTTAAAGAGACAATCTAACTCTGTTACCCAGAATCAAGTGTAGTGGCATAATTATAGCTTACTGCAGCCTTGAGTTCCTGGTCTTCAGTGAGCCTCCTGTCTCAGCCCCCTGAGTAGCTGGAGCTACACCTGTGCACAGCCACACACAGCTAATTTTTAAACTTTTTACAGAGTGGAGTCTTACCTTGTTGCCCAAGCTGATCATAAACTCCTAGTCTCAAGTAATTCTCCCACTTCAGCCCCTCAAAGTACTGGGATTACAGGTGTGAGCCACAGTGCCCAACCTTGAGATTTCTTAATTATTAGTTTTTACATTATTAATCCAATTTTGTAATAATTTTAAGACAACTTAGATTACCTATTCCAACTTGTTTGAGTTTTTGTAGTATGTAAAATATTTTAGGAATTTTTGTATTTCTTTAGTTTGAATATATAGCATAAAGTTTTTCACAGTATTCTCTAATTAGCAATGTGTGGCTGCAGCACCTGTCACAGTATCTTCTATCCCTTCCTGATATTAGGGATGTCTTCTTATTTATTTATTTATTTACTGAGACGGAGTTTCGCTCTTGTTACCCAGGCTGGATGGAGTGCAATGGCACGATCTCGGCTCACCGCAACCTCTGCCTCCTGGGTTCAGGCAATTCTCCTGCCTCAGCTTCTTGAGTAGCTGGGATTACAGGCACGCGCCACCATGCCCAGCTAATTTTTTGTGTTTTTAGTAGAGACGGGGTTTCACCATGTTGACCAGGATGGTTTCGATCTCTTGACCTCGTGATCCACCCGCCTCGGCCTCCCAAAGTGCTGGGATTACAGACTTGAGCCACCGCACCTGGCCCGAGATTATTGATTTTATTGACTTTTTTAAGAATCAGCTTTTGCTTTCATTAACTTTGTCTATCATTACTCATTCTAAATTTTATTGATTTCTGCTGTAATCTTTATTATTTTTTCTTCTGTTTGCTTTGGATGTATTTTTCTTTTTTTTCTAATCAATTGGTATAGAAATTTAGATTATTGATTTGAATTTTTTTTCCTTCTATACAGAAAAGAGTTATCCCAGTCAGCCTGAGTTGCACCAAGTTTGTAATTTTCAAGAAAGGCCAGTTTTGTGGTGAGTCCTTAAACAGTTCTTGGGAGTTGAGATCTTGGAATGTTCTAATTGCTAGGAATGCTTTAAACACTTGGGACCTTGAACCATTTTGTGCCAGGCTTTCTAGATAGCTTGTACAATGAATGTGATTATTGAACAACTCATTTCCTTATCATAATATATCCTTATGTAATCAACTCACAATAAAAACTGTGAACTTATAGGCTTAGACAAATCTCTGTAATAGACAAAACTTTGATGCACTTTCACAATTTATTGTTGGAGGAATTAAGTGTATCCTATATATATTAAGTGTATCTTCTAGTGACTCCACTAGAAGAATGTTCTTAGAAACTTGTGCCTGATTTTCTCCAAACTTTACCCATACACCTTTTTCCTTCACTGATTTTCCTTGGGACCCTTCACCATAATAAACCACAATCATAAGTATAATAACTTCTAAGTCCAAAAAGTTCTTCTAATGAAATCACCAAAACAGCAGTGGTCTTGGGGACCTCCAAAACACTTTGTTTCTAAAGTAAGTTTTTACTGCTATTGTTTTCATTTAATTTGGTTTTGTATATTTATTAAATGTCCTTGGAAATTTCCTTTTCTTTTTTTTTTTGAGACGGAGTTTCACTGCTGTTACTCAGGCTGGAGTGCAATGGCACAATCTCGGCTCACTGCAACCTCTGCCTCCTGGGTTCAGGCAATTCTCCTGTCTCAGCCTCCCGAGCAGCTGGGACTACAGGCATGCGCCACCATGCCCAGCTAATTTTTGTATTTTTAGTAGAGACAGGGTTTCATCTTGTTGACCAGGATGGTCCCGATCTCTTGACCTCCTGATCCACCCTCCTGGGCCTCCCAAAGTGCTGGGATTATAGGCGTGAGCCACCACGCCTGGCCGGCAATTTCCTTTTGACCAATAATGCATTTAGAAGTATGTTGCTTAATTCCCACATATTTTGAGAATTTCCTGTGGACTTTCCTTTATCAATTTCTAGTTTGATTCCATTGTAGTCAGAGAAAACACACTGTATGATTTCAGTTCTCATAAATTTGTTGAGGTCTATGTTATGGCCCAAAATATCGCTTATATAACAATGTTAAATGGACACTTGAAAAAAAAGTTTATTCTGCTATTGGCGGCAAAGTTTATCCTGCTATTGTGTGAAGGTTTTACGTATGTCATTTACATACTATTGGTGGATAATTGTGTGGTTCATATCTTTTAAGTATTTTCTGATTTACTGTCTAGGAGTTCTATCAGTTGCTAAAAGGAAATTTTAATTCAGAAATTTGAGTTATAACTGTAGATTCATCTATTTCTTCTTGCAATTCTATAAGTTTTTGTTTTATGTATTTTGAGGATCTGTTGTTTGGTGTGTACATTTAAAATTACTACATCTTCCTAGTGCGTTGATCATTTTGTTATTATGTAATATAAATTTTTCTCTAGTAATTTTCTTTGCTCTAAAGTTGACTTTATTAGATATTAATACACCACATCAGCATTTTTACCTAATGTTTGCATAGTAAATTTTTCTATTCTTTTATTTTCAATCCACCCATATCGTTGAGTTTAAAGTGAATTCCTTGTAATCAGTGTGTCACTGGGTCTTTGTATGTTCATTCAATCAATCTGTTTCTTTGATTGATGTATTCAGGTCATTTATATTTAAGATAATTTTGGATATGTTGGTACTGAAGCCTACTATTTTATTATTTGTTTTCCATTTCCTCTGTCCTTGTTACTCTGTTTTTCTATTCTTGCCTTCCTATGGGTTATATTAACATTTCTTATTATTCCATTTTGATTTATTTATAGTATTTTGGGGAGATTTCTTTGTACAGCCTTTGTAGTTCTTTGTGGGGTGGGGTTATTACAACATATATATGTGGCTTATCATATGGCTTACCACATTCTACTGGTATCAACATTTCAGATGTGAAAACCTCCCTTCAATTTAGGTTCATTTTCCTTCTCCACTTTTAAATATCATGATTTTTACTTCAATCATCAATTATGATTTATAAAACTCATGAAGGAACAAATATTATTTCTGCTTTTTTGTTCCTTCTTTCTTCCTAATAGTAAAAATTATATCGTTTTCTTTTTTTTAACTTTTATTTTAGGTTGAGGGATATATATTCAGGTTTGACAAATAGATAAACTCATGTCACCAGGATTTGTGGTACAGATTATTTCATCACCCAGGTAGTAAGCCTACTACCCAATAGTTATTTTCTTTGCTCCTCCTCATCCTCAGTCCTCTACCCTCAAGTAGTCCCCAGTATCTGTTGGTCCCTTCTTTGTGTTCACAATATCTCGTCATTTAGCTCCTATTTATAAGCGAGAACACATAGTATTTGGCTTTCTGTTCCTCTGTTGATTTGCTAAGGATAATAGTCTCCAGCTCCATCCATGTTCTCACAAAAGACATGATTTCGCTCTCATATATGGCTGCACAGTATAACATGGTATATAGGTACCACATTTTCTTTATCTAATCTATCATTGATGGGCATTTAATTTGATTGCATGTCTTTGCTATTGTGAACAGTGCTGCAATGAACATTATATGCATAGATTTTGCAACAAAATGATTTATATTTTGTAGGTGGATACCCGGTAATGGGATTACTGGGTCAAGTGGCAGTTCTGTTTCTAGTTCTTTGTGGAACTGCCACACTGCTTTCCATAATGATTTAACTAATATGCACTCCTACAACCAGTGTATAAGTGTTCCTGTTGCTCCACAACCTCACCAGCATCTGTTACTTTTTGATTTTTTATAAGTAGCCATTCTGACTAGTATGAGATGGCATTTCATTGTGCTTTTGATTTGTACTTCTCTAATGATCAGTGATATTGAGCTTTTTAAACATGTTTGTCAGCCACATATATGTCTTCTGTAGGTCTTCTCTTGAAAAGTGTCATCTGTTTGTGTATTTTGCCCACTTTTTAATGAGATTGTTTGTTTTTTTCCTTGTAAATTTGATTAAGTTTCTTACAGCTGCTGGATATTAGACCTTTGTCAGATGCAGTGTTTCAAATATTTTCTCCCATTCTGCACACTGTCTATTTACTCTGTTGATAGTTTCTTTTGCTGTTCAGAAGCTCTTTAGCTTACTTAGATCTTATTTGTTAATTTTTGGTTTTGTTGAAATTGCTTTTGGCATTTTTGTCATGAAATATTTTCTGTTCCTATGTCCAGAATGATTTTGCCTAGGTGGTCTGGGGGTGTTTTATAGTTTGGGGTTTTACATTTAAGTATTTAATCTATCCTGAGTTGATTTTTGTATATGATGTAAGGAAAGGATCCAGCTTTGGTTTTCTGCATATGGCTAGCCAGTTCTCCAAGCACCATTTATTAAATAGGGATTCTTTTCCTCATTGCTTGTTTTTTGTCAAAGATCAAATGGTGCTAAGTGTGTGGCCTTCTTTTGGGCTTTCTATTCTGTTCCATTGGTCTGTGTGCGCTTTTTTGTACCAGTGTAATGCTGTTTTGGTTACTACAGCCCTATAGTATAATTTGAAGTTGGGTAATATGATACTTTCAGCCTTGTTCTTTTTGCTTAGGATTGCTTTGGCTATTCAGGCTCTTTTTTTGTTCCATATGAATTTTAAAATAGTTGTTTCTAGTTCTGTGAAGAATGCCATGGGTTGTTTGAGAGGAGTAGTGTTGAATCTGTAAATTGCTTTGGGAAGTATGGCCATTTTCATGATACTGATTCTTCCTATCCATGAGCATGGGATATTTTTCCATCATTTGTGTCATCTCGAATTTCTTTAAGAAGAGTTTTGTAATTCTCATTGTAGATATATTTTACCTGCCTGGTTAGCTGTATTCCTAGATGTCTTATTCTTTTTGTGGCAATTGTGAATGAGATTGCCATCCTGATTTGGTTCTCAGATTGGCTGCAGTTGGTGTATAGGAATGTTAGTAAATTTTGTGTATTGATTTTATATCCTGAAGCCTTATTGAAATTCTTTATGAGCTTAAGGAGCTTTTGAACCAACACTGTGGTTCATAAAGCAAGTTCTTTAGCATCCAGAGTCATAAAGCAAGTTCTTGGACACTTACAAAAAGACTTAGAATTCCGCACAATAATGGTGGAAAACTTCAATACTCCACTGACAATATTAGACAGATCATCAAGGAAGAAAATTAACAAACCACAGAATCATGTCTTCCACAAACAGGGATAGTTTTACTTCTCTTCCACTTTGAATGCCCTTTGCTTTTCTCTCTTGCCTGATTGCTCTGGCTAAGACTTCCAATACTATGTTGAAAAGAACTGGTGAGAGAGGGCATCCTTGTGTTAGTTTTCAAAGAAAATGCTTCCAGCTTTTCCCCATTTAGTATGATGTTGGCTGTGGCTTTGTCATAGATGGCTCTTATTATTTTGAGGTATGTTCCTTCAATACTAGTTTATTGAGAGTTTTTAACACGAAGGAATACTGACTTTTATTGAAAGCCATTTATGCATCTATGGAGACAATAATGCAGTTTTTGTCTTTATTATGTGATGAATCACATTTATTGAGTTGTATATGTTGAACCAACCTTACATTCTGGGGATGAAGCCTACTTGATCATGTTGGGTTAGATTTTTGATGTGCTGCTGGATTCAGTTTGCAAGTATTTTGTTGAGGATTTTTGTATCATTGTTTCTCAAGAATTGGCCTGGAGTTTTCTTTTTGTGTTGTGTTTCTGCTGGGTTTTGATATCAGGATGATGCTAGTCTGATAGAGTGACTTGGAGAAGAGTCTCTCCTCCTCAAATTTTTGGAATAGTTTCAGGTGGAATTGTACGACTTCTTTGTACATCTGATAGAATTCAGCTATAGATCCATCTGGTCCTGGGCTTTTTTTTTTTTTTTTTTTTTTTGGTTGATAGGCTATTTATTATGGATTAAATTTGAGAGCTCATGATTGGTCAGTTCAGGGAATCAATTTCTTCCTGGTTCAGTCTTGCAAGGCTGTATGTGTTCAGAAATGTATTAATCTCTTCTAA